CAACATCATTCATCCACGAATTCACACTTCCATCCATAAAAATTTCAAGAAATCAAAGGTAAATTGGCTCAACTTTATGGGTTTCGAAATTTTTCTTCTTTATCTTAAATTCTTGCTCATGGTTGGAATTTTTTGAATTTTGTTGGGAGTATGAGCGTAGTTGATATTGGTTTTGTGGATTAGTTGTGGAATATTTGGATTTAGCATAGAATCATGAGGAAATTTTACTCATTTCAATTACTGTGCATATCAAGTGTTTGATTAATTGCTCCAAATGCATTTTTGTGTCAAGTATGCCATGATTTTTGTATGATACATAGAATATACACACATAAACTCACATATCATTGTATCTGTCCAATTTCATGAATTGAATGACAATTTAGGGGGAAGCATATTCAAGCATACGTTCCTCCATATGTCCCCTACGTCCCTATTTGAGTCCCTACTTGCAGTCCCAATTTTCTGCTTATTGCTTATTTAGGATTGTTATATCATATATGAGTAACTAATGGTCGTTCAGCCATGTCGACTTGTTATGAGGAGAAGCAATGAGACCAATTAAAGTGGGAAAGAAAGGAAAGAGGAAGACCAGAGCAAGACAAACCAAGGAAGAAGGAAATGTAGTCAACGGTTTCCCTGAAATTCAAGTCCAGGACAAAAAGAACCTTTTACACTTTTGTTTTCTATTATAACCTAGAGATGGAGGGAGAAGGTTGTGAATGATTATCGTGAAAAAATTCACCACCACCTCTAGGTTATAATTGAATGTTTCTAGGGAAGTTAAATAGCTTCTATGGATGAACATTATGTTTCAACTTGTATAGAGACGTTATTTTCTGCATTTTTACTGCAAAGTTTTACAGTATGCTGGTCCTTACTTTTCCTTGCTTTGGAGTTATACAGAACTTGTAATCTTGAATAGAAAATCTGCATGCAGAACAATTGATGCTTTGTAAGATTTTTTTGGTTACGAATTATATTTGTGTTTTGATACTTCACAACTTGTTTTCTATTTTCCGTACAATTAATGTTATGGATCTAAATGGGGAAATATTTGTTTTTCATTTTCCGCCTCCTGTTCTTGATTGCTAACTAGTTACTGCTTTTTCTAAGTTCTGACACTTTTTTTTTTTTGAGTTTCAGTCACTTATTATAGTGTTTGTTACTATTTTGATTTTTTGGTCACTTTTTTTACTAACAAAATCATTTTTTTTTTTTATAAAAATGAGATTGTGTCACACTATTACTTACTTAATTTTATGCATTACCATCTAATGATGTCAAAGTTGCTCGTCAATTTTATAAAAGTGACATTGTGTCACTTTTTAAAATTTTGTCACTTTTTTCGATTTTTGTCACCTTTTAAGTTTTTGTTACATTTTAAGAAAATAAAAAAGTGAAATAATATATTATATTTTCTTAACATAATCAGCATGTGGATTGGCCTGGACGTGCTAATTATTTTAAGAACATGATTACTGGTGCTGTACAAATAAATAATGTTATTTTGGTATTTGTCACTTTTTATGAATCTATGTCATTTTTTTTAAAAAAGTAAAAAAAAAATGACAATTTTTATAAAAAAAGTGACATTGTGTCTCCTTTTCATTTTACACAATATTTTTTACTTCCTAAAAATCTTTCATATGATTTTTCAAAACATCCCTAATTTTAAGGGTATTTTTGTAAGTACCACAATTTTTTATGTCCTTTTACTTGTACACCACCCGATTCAAACTCAACTAAAAATACTTTGATATCCCCTTCGTCTTTTAATAATTACAAAATCATGAAAGTTGTGGGATTTGCATGCTTTCATCTTTATTGAATGTCAGTGATTCGTTTGACTTTGTATGGTTATCTTATAGATCTCTAAATACTCTGTAGGCTCTCATGTTTTGCATGGCTTAAAAATCCCCCATAGTCATGTTATTTGGATCATCCTAACTTATTTGATCTCCCATCCTTTGTACGAAGACGTAATCCGGCACGTAGTCATGTTGTATTCAGCAATTTCTGCATATGGATCATCCTGGAAAGATTCTTTCTATTTTGATGTTATCATTTTCTTCGCAGATTTTTTTATAGCACATAATTTAGATTCAACCACAAACAATTTTTCAATAGGTAGCTGGGTTAATTTCTCTCCACTATCTAAAGACTTTTTCAATGCGAGGAATTCATTAGTTGAAATTTCCATCCTGGTCTCACCAGTTCAGATTTTAAGCGTTGAATACAAGGCTAATTTTTAAAGGGTGGAACGTTACTACTATAATTGTATTAATATCATATAAGAAATAAATCTAGTTTAGGAAATATTTATGATGGCCATATATAGATAGAAAATTATTTATTATTAGTAATTATTTGAATATTGAAGTTATATTTATTTTATCCAAACTAGTTACTATTATGATAGCCATTCACCGCTGCTTCATGCTTGCCACGGTAGCGCTGTGAGTGTCACAGTCAGTGGCAGGACTGTCGTGAGGTAGCGCTCACAGTGGTCTTCTGGTGGAGGGAGGGAGGGATAGAGAGAGAAGAAAGAAGGGAGACGGGAAACGGCACACGGGATAGAGATATTAATGTATAATTATTTTTTGATTTATTATTAATCATAAATTTATTTAGTAAATATTAAATAATTAACTATAACCTGAATTATGAAAGATGAAACTTAAAATCATATTTATTGTTGAAAATTGCTGCTCCAAACTTCAAGTTTCCGGGCTCAGTTTCACCAATCGGCACCACAATTTGACAACCCAATCCCAAAACCAATACTCCCAACCGGTTGCTACGGTTTGCCCACAAAGAGCTCGATATGAAGAAGATGGTAGCCTAAAAGAATTAGCCATAAAGGCTAAGAAAAAAGGAGAGGGACGGATCACAAACGGCACAAAGCCAAGGACACTGCCTTTCTCTCAAACACACGGCTACCACAAGTTCACACACACATAAACAATAATGGGGCGGTAAATATAAGGGGGAAATTAGGTATGGGCCTTAGGTTAGAAAAGGTAGGGCCCAATAGGAAATATGTAAATGGGCTAACAAATCGAAAAAGCAATCCAGGTCTTGGGTTGGGCCATGAGTAGTACTAATTTAAGGGAAGTATACATAAATCCTGCTTTTATTTATACACATTTCAAAATTAAGGTTTGATGTTTTAAATTTCAAAAATCAGGTTTCTATTTAAATTTATTTATGAATTACTTAATTAATTATATATTTTATTAATAAATATATAACGGTCACAGATCTATACAATTTGGTCACAATTCAAAAATTTTAAGGTCACAATTCAAAATTTTGATATGTCACAATTCATTCATCGGTCACAAATTAAAAATTTAAAAGTCTCAATTGTTTAATCGGTCACAAATCATAAAATTTTTAAGTCACAATACTTAATTAGGTCACAATTTATCAATTTATTGGTCACAATTAATATTTTTTAGGTCACAAATTAATAATTTTTAGGTCACAATTAATAATTTTTGGTCACAGAGTATTTCTTAGTCACAATTTATTATTATTGGTCACACACCACCAAATTTATTGGTCACAATTTGTGACCACCACCAACACATCACCACCTTCGTCAACACCAACACCACCACTTCCCAACAACAAAATCCCCATTCCAATGCCGACATTTTCACCACCACACCTTCACCGCCACCGTCACGACACAGCATCACC